CATTGGTGAGACTGGTAGAAACCTTAACACGCGACTAACTGAACACAAACGAGCTACTAGAAATGGCGATGTGAACAATCACATTTCTGAACATCACCGACAAACTAATCACAGAATAGACTGGGACTCTGCTAAATGCTTAACCTACAGTACAAACTATTTTCAACGACTGACTTTGGAAAGTTGGTTTACCAACTTAGAACAGACGCCTCTCAACCGATGTCAACAACTACCGGCACCTTACAAACGACTCATTAATGACGTGAACAAACCGACAAACAAACCGACCAACAACAGACGGATCGAAACCGACCAATGACTGTTAACAAACTCTACACGAGTCTTCCAGCCAATCATATCTCGGCTAAACAGACCAATCACGTTCAACAGACCAGACTTTATAACATCATCGACTGACAACTACTCTCCACTTGACTCTGAAGATGACTTCCGCACAGGTTGTCGAAACGTCAGTCACCAACAACAGTTCTTTTCAGAACTACACTCACCCGGACGATCACACTATACAAACTACTGGGGCATTAATGGCGATACAAACGTACCTTATACCATCAGACTCACGAACAGAAATGAGTGACACTATTAGTATTTTAAGTACTCTGTCAACGTCACTTCCGTTCTGCGTGAGTGATTCTCTATTTCTACATAACCTTCAAAAAGAGGAACTTACACCGCGTACTCGTGCTTGAAACAAATTTTTAAGAATACGAATGTTGATAGTCGAAAGGAAGTGACGCATTTTCACTAAAAATGATGAACTACCAACTTCTCGTGAAAACATAACTTCGGGTTTTAATCCAAGGTGAAAATTACAGTAATTAAGGGGAGACTAATTCCGGACTTTGACAACCGACCGCTAAATACGATGCCGCTTAATAGAGGTTCCACAAATTTGCATATCTGTCGAGGTTTGTTCTAGTTTCGAGAGCATAATTAAAGACCAAAGGTATTGTTACTCTTCCGAGATGGAATGGAAACACCGCGCATATTTTAGCTGGCAACAAATAAAACAGAATATGCCGTGCGTTGAGTTAAATACATCCTTCATTGCAATACATTACCTCGGGCATATCAAGCAAAGGTTGGTTAACAGCCAATTCAAACAGCGCACGTGCCCTGTCAGTATCACCAAGAATGGTTTCCAGTTCGGCGTACTAAAAATAGAAAAAAGGAGAAAACAGAGCAAATGTTTCAATAACAGCCGACTACCAGCGGTTCACTATCGTCGATCTCTCACTGCCTCGATCGAAAAGTGCTCTATTTTCAAGTTAACCCTTTCACTCACATAGGGTGCTCAACGTGTAACTTCTCCTTATAATATGAATACATTATCTAGCAAACTCAAAGTTAACAGGTAGAAGTCTATATCTTGATCTAAAACCCAATTCTCCCAACTAATTTACGAGGAAATGTGTTGCAGCTAAAGGGGAGAACTGACAATCTTATCTTGGGAGTTAAAGGGTTAATCTATTGTCTTTAACGAATTATTCCACGGTACTTCACCTCTTTTACATATCTTACACATAGTCTTCCCTGACTGCCAAATTTAATAAAGATGTCGTCAATTTAATTTCGTTCCATAGCTTGATCATTGAGGACGTTAAGCTAACCCCAGCCTCGACAGCAGCGAGGATGTGGAAAAACAAAAGATCTAATGAGCAGAACAATAGCTCAGCCAAATTCAAAACTGTGATCATTTATTAGCCTTCCTAAGGTCATGCTTAAGGTCCCTGTTTGTTAGCATTCATGCCCTTATTTTACTTGTCTTTTTTGTTCATTCGTGTGGGCGCGCGACCTGACATTCCATCGATCCAGGCCTGCCTTCGATCGTTTGTTCTAACGATTGTTTACTCAAACTTTTCTTAGTTTTTTCATTCCCAATTGTTCTTGTCAAACTCAGTCTATAGTTTATTGCAAGTGTTTACAGAAAAGCACACTTGTAAAACAATAAAAAACAACTACTTTAACAACAACAACAACAACAGAAAACACCCTCTCCTAACCTTGACCCATGTGGTACAATTTGCAGGATTAAACTCCAGGAATTTCTCGTACAACTTACGACAGCGATCAAATTCTCGAAGCTGTTAAAAGCAAAACGGACAAAGAGGCAGAATTTGCATCACAAAGGGTAACTAGAGACACCGTCACGGAGTCGCAATTCGAGTCAGCTAAAAAAGGAACCAATATTTCTAAGAAACACAAAAAGTCGAGAAAAAGTAAGAATTGAAATGGTTAAGGAGTGGAAGGGGGAAGGCTTAGAAAATCACTTCGATAAAGATTTTTAGATTAAGGTCTCAACTCCTTAGAGTTCCTTTTCATAATCTTTCAACTCACCTGTAACTCGAGACCGATGTATTCTTGGAAGAGTCGATCTTTGGGACATTTCCCGATCGCTGTGCCCTGTGACGAACACAAATAATACATTAGCAGAGCGTATGTGAGGCCCAATGGACTGGAATGGCAGTTCGGGAGGCTGGAACACGGATTGAAAGTTCCTGACCAGGCCACTTTTTATGTTGTTGGATGGGGCCAGGAGAAAACGATGTCCCATTGTTTATGTCTTGATGAGGCACAGTACCTCCCTCCATCTCCCTCCATTCAGTAGGCCTTAACCCTTTAACTCTCGTGAGTGACCAAGACAGAATTTCTCCTTACTATATCTTTACAATATCATGCAGACAAGTGACGAGAATAAAGAAAAATACCAATTATGGGATTACTAATTGATCCGATACCAAATTCTCCAAAATAAAATAATGAGAATCATTGGCAGACAGTAAGGAGAATTACTAATGAGATTTTAGAAATTAAGGGTTTAAATAAGTACAGGCGAGGATCCACAGAAAATTGGAGGGGGAGGGGAGGGGGAGGTTGGAAGCCTACGATGAACTACCACATATCGAGGCGGAGTAACACTACTCATAGTAACTTCATTCTAAGAAATCCGCGATTATCTTCGCCGATATAAACCACTAATTTCGTGGGAAGAGTCGTGGAACTCTAGTGCGCTAATTAATTAGGCGGATCATGATTTTGCGTTCACAACAAATCTTTGCATTTCTACCAGCTAAGCTCGTTTTCGTTGGCATCAAGCCATCTCAAGTATTGTCCACTGCAGTCAACTTTGCACCAAGCACCCTCGTAACGTTTTCCCAAACAGTTCGCCGATACCCAATCATACCTCTTGGTTCAGAGAGGCATTGTGAAAGTAACTGTCTTGCAGAAGAACACTTTAAAATGAATCGGGACGAAACAAGAATCAACACAATCTGATCTGCAAACGGTTCCCTTCTCACCCACTTTTGAGCAAGACTGCGCCCGCCCGCCCTATTCATCCAGATAATGAAATCACCCATGACACTCACCAACGCCTGCCGTGCTGCCTTGAGATCCTTCTGACGGATTTCAAACTGTGCA